ATTTCTTGCACCATTTTTGGTCGAGTGAATCATTTCGTTCCTTTGTACACCTGTTGAACTACACGTCCTGAACTATTTTGTTCGTAGGCACTGCTCATGTTGGTAAGCGAACTGAAATTCTGCTACCGACTTCCCTAGTCTATCGTGGTCAGAATTGTCAGTTTTGCACAGTGCATCGGCTGATTCCCTCGCTCTCCGACTCGGATGTCACTTCGCGCGAAGCCGGTTAATGTAATGTTGCCTTCCAATGGGGTACAGTAAGGCCATTACACCTGCTTACCTGAGCGCACCCCTTGTTTGAAAAGTCTGCGTGTTTATTCACCTCTGTTGATATCTGTCTGATGTCCCTAATCGGCCGTCAGAGGATGATCTTATCAAGCATGCAGTCATGTTGTTTTACTGATATGATGGACACAATGTCAAAGTTTCTCGGTTGTTCGTACTCGTGGCACCCGTCCTCGATGGTCTTGATTCTCTCCGGTGGCTCATGTGGTGGGGTTTCAGCAGCATACGGCTCACTGAAGTAGTCCAACATCGCAGCACCATACACGGAATTTTCTTTCCAGCATAAGTGTTGTCACTTCTAGCGTGACGCCGACAATGATTTTTTGTAAGTCGTAATGCACTACTCATACGGATGCTGAAAATTTTTCGACAGCTCACGACCGGTCTCACCGTATTTGGGGCTCATCAGTTAGGTAAGGTTAACGGCGTTAGCTTGAACCAATGAAAATCGGGCGGTGTGTTGGTCGATTTAGCAACACAAGTGAGCAGGAATCAGACGCAGCAATCCCGTGTGAAAGGATGACAAAGAATTCTGAAGCTTTTGGAGCACGACAGGCAAATTTATGCTAGAAAACGTTTAGTCTGACGGCTGAGCATATGTACTGCCAGTGAAATATAAAAAAGAGGGAAACTCGAGCTCACTGCTTCTTTCTCTTTGATATGAACTCACTAGAATGATTAATCCAGGACTGGGGGTGACTGTTCAAACGAAAATGATGTGATTCTCGATGGGTTAGGTAAATTACAGGGTTAACAAGTCCTTTGGACAACCTAAAAACATGGATTAATATAGGCTGGATAGGAACGTGGGATTTTGTATAGATCGGGTCATTGTAGTTTGTGGCAGTGCGACAAAAGGAGGAATTACACGGATTCGTTTCATAGCCACGAACCACTAGCAAATTCTGTTTGAGCTACGATTAGAACTCGTCATCAACGTGGGGGAGCATCAATCACGGAGCGAAATTCATCCTGCTTCAGGTTGCGTCGATGACAAATATGAGGGCGTTTCCCGGGTGAAGCAACAACCTACCGAACGAGTGTCAAAACCCTTGAACGGATAATTTCTAACCTAGATGATAGCCACTAGCTTGCTGCATTTTTGGTGACGTTTTTTCGCGAATATCCACCTCTGCACGTTTGTCCGCCGTCGGCGCCAAGGAATTTTACGCACCATTACATTTTAGCCAATGGCAAACCGTCTGTGACTCCCCATACTTTGTACTAGCATCTAATTTTCCCACATTTTTGTCACTTTAACATTCGAACCCCTACCAACGACCTCGATCTTTCAAATCTGTATTGAGCCTTTGATTTACGTGCAGATGAATCCGGAGTCACATGCTCGAGATAGCTCAGTGGTTTTGACGCGAAATTAGTGACCGGAAGTTTCATGGATCGAACTCGACCCCGGTGACTCGACTGCTCCTGTCTAGGCAGTATTTCTGTCCTCATGCTTTCTTCAGATGGCATAGCGCCGAAAAGATGTTATAGATGAACTATTACATTATTATATATTATACTTCCTACTAACAATGCGTGCATATATCTTGACATATATAGTTGAGGCTAGCAACCTTCCATTCCTCATCTGAGCCTTCATCCCGAGCCAAATCCTCTGTGTCTTGTTTGTATGCATAATCTCTACTATCGTTTGGGTTGTTACATGTAGCTATCAATCAATACGCTCTTTTGCTTGGAGGGGTGTGATAAACGGACTATCAGTTATGGGATTCGACAAGGAACATCATACAGTACACGCCCTACTCTGTGAGAAGTCCGAACTCGAGAAGCAATCACGTGATATGATTGCGCGCTGTTCAACGACGAATGCATGTAAACCGTATCCCCGTTCAACTACCAGTATCACTGTGATACTACTGATGGATGGGCATACGAGTAGCATGTTTTATCGTAAATCCGCCTCACGTCTCTTGGAAAGTGAGGTCTATTATGGAATTTGTGGAGTCGCTTGCATTTGCTTGCGTTTGAGTAACAGTCAATGAATATCCAGGAAGATTCAAGAAGACGCGTTCAAGGAGAATATGGATATTCAGCTTTTGTAAACAAGATGCATGAGAGTTTTGCTCTCCTGTCCAGTAGTCTGTGACTGTTCAGTTGGTGTTTCTCTAATAAAATAAACAACAACGAAGGCCTTCTTTCTTTCACCAGTAACAGAATGATGGTTTTCACTTTCCTGACCCGTTTTTAGCTTCTCTGTAGGTTTGTGAGAGCCGCACTACTGCAGTAACCACTTGTTGAAATAACTTCGGTGTACGTCAACTCTAACGTGTATGATCGAATAAGGAATGGAAACTTCAAGCTTTCCTTGACGTTTAGGAAAAAGTGGTGTTCTGCTCACAAAGGAAGTCATTTTGTCGATCAATACGGGCACTATCCAAACTCCTTCGATCAATACTAATTTGCTTGATGAAAATAGGTAATACTGAAGGACAAGTGCAAATGAGCAGCACTACTGGTGAGCCTTTTCCTAGCTGAAAGACATACTGTGCATGGGTTTTTATGAAATGATCGTCAGCTACTTATGAGTAGTGTTCGTGTGTTGAAAATTCGCTTTTGTCCACTTTCACTCTCCTAACTACGACTTGGTCAATGAAGATATAGAAAGAACCTTATTGAAGACATCCTCTGCACGTCATGGATCCCGGGCGGGAACGCGACACAAAATCATCGTTTTGAACCCGACTACGAAAGAATCCAACGAACCTCCCGACGTAATCCAACGGGAAAAGGTGTAATCAGTGGATCATTGGTTGACTCGATTTCAAATAAATTCTTGTTGTAGCAGAACGTTTGCAACTCGGATACAGGAAGACCGCTGCCAAACGTTTGAACAGGGTTGTACAGCGCGCATCCATATGACTTACCGCGAGCACAGTTTACATGGATACTTTCTATTCACAACTCGGATACAGGAAGACTTAGCGGAAGAACGCTGTCAAACGTTTGAACAGGGTTGTACAACGAGCATCCATATGACTTACCGTGAGCACAGTTTACATGGATACTTTCTATTCCCTTGATCCACGCAACGCGTGTACTTCAAATGTTTGTCGCGATAGTATTGATAGGCAAACATCTTTCCACAGTATTCACATGAATAACCTTCACCGCCTAAGCAAGGAAAGAGGGAATGGGTTCAGTATGCTTGGTAAAACTGGATTGCACACAGAATAAGGTATTCATAATGCTCTTACGCGTTCTTAGGCGATAATCTAGTTGACTTTTAACGAAGTAGGTTGATTTCAAAACCCAGTAGGTGTTCCGGATTCAATGAGAATCATCAGTAGTGCTCGTCTCACGAAACTCCAGAGTCTCAAACCCGCAACCTCCAGGTTAGTAGTTTGAGCATATTCGTCCACGAGTGACTCCCAATAAGGATGTTTCAGCTGTACACTGATTCATGTTTTTTCAGTACAGATTGACCTCATTTACAAAAGTAAATCTCAACTGAAAGTTACCTGACCTCCTCATATTTTCATCAGCATAGATGTAACTGTGTTTCAGAGCATTCACTAATTCGTTTGTAGCTGCTATAGGCACAGCGACGTACGCTATTTGACGACTGTCCTTGTAAAAGACCACCAAAACTAATAATGCCCGCAACGCAATATTGCTGTTCCGTTCATGTCGAGGAGTTTTCATTGGTTAGACCGAAATCGAAGTTCGGTTCAGCGTTCGGAAAGCGGGATTGCAGGGGAAACACTCCATGTTTCAATTCTTTTGTATCTTACTGCTGTCTCAGCCCCAATGCCGAACGTAACAGCTTTGTTGAGAACAAGCGAGTGCAAAAGTTACAAGAGGCCTCGCGTCTTCTAAAGAACACTTTTGACCTTGATCCAGGCTGTCCGATCGGCGTTCGGTGGGCATCATCAGCCGGCANGCATCATCACCCGGCGCAACCACCAACCCATCGCTACGCACTACTACGCTCCCTAAAAACGCACCGATGATGTCCCCTCGATTGTTGATGGAACGCTTGCAATCAAATTGCCCAGCTCAGCAAGCATACCAAAGACCATTTGAGTTAACTGAGCTACCAACATTATCCCCTATAGAAGACCATGCATCTATGAGATACCTGAACACTTATCACCGTCAGCCGTGCTTTCGTGACATGCCTGAACACACGTCGGCCCTTGCTGAATTGATTGATCTCTTGAACGTGCGATCAAAAGCGGGTGTTTCTGGCCTGGAAGCTTACCAGTTTCCCTTCTGGGGTTTGGGTGTCTCAGAAGGTCTCGGCCATTCTGAGATTGTCTTCGGTAATCTGATCTTCCTGACAAATTTCTCGGCTAGTAGTGCACTTTAGACTGTGGCAGTCAGTGGCGGACTCAGTTTCTAGCGTACAAATCTGTTCGAAATGGCTGTTTCAGAAGTTAGAAGCTGTGAAGAAGTTTGTCGCTTAAGGCATCTAACTAAATCAAAGTAACCGCGGTACTTACGTTCATTCTTCAAGCACAGAGTGAAATTAACGTAATGGTTGACAATAAAAGTGGATTTTTTTCAAGACTTTCCACAAATTCCATATTAGAAATAGACGGATTTGATCACAGTTGGTTGCTGCAGACAGGTGGCACTGGAGATGAACACATTTTACGGAGCGGCCTCTGTATGCACTCGCCACTAAACACACGCAGATGTAGCAAAAATACGATTCGTTTATTCTAACTCATGGATGGAATTCAACTTACCATCGAACGATTCCTTTTTATGTGCAGGTGGAAGCTGACCTCTGGGACTCTCACCTGTGGAAGCCACTGACCGATGAGCAGATAGCAACAAGGCCGGCGATTCCTTCTTCTGCCTGTCGAATAAAGCTTTGGTTTCGTTTAAATTTTGTGCTGAGTGGAGATTGAACTGATCCCCGTGTGTTGTTTTTGCTCCCTCCGCGAATCCCTGCCCTTTGACAGCACACAAATACTTGCCGAACTTTTGGTTACATAAATCGACAGCTTGCGTTGGGCACGTGACTCTCGGATGTACTTTATTGAAGGGCTGAAGTTCTTCCGTCCAGCCAGCTGAATTTCTGTTCAGTGATTGCCAACACAGTTGAGCTTTCATGGGATCCATAGCCTTGTTGTGTTGTTTTCTATAGTAAGCTTTTGAAGAACTTGCGTCAAGAATGGGTCCTTTGTTCAAAGGTATTGCAGGGAGCCCCTGGTGAGGACCGGTGCATGAAAGACTTTCAGCTGTTTCATTGAACGCATGGTTTGCTGAGAAGTCATTGCCCAGCTGATTGACGCAGCTGAAATAGCAAAATGAGAGGACTCTCGGTAGAAGGCGACAACAACAATATCAGTAATATCAGAAAACCCAAAATACAAATGAGAATTATGATAGCATGATAGAAAAAAATGCACTAAAAGTGACAATTGCTCACAGGTTTCGCATGCAGCACCTCTGGTTGAAATGGAATAAGTTAAAAAAAGTGGGACCATAAGGTCTTCAACTTACTTCAAGATCAACTCCTCACCAGGTAGAACTTTTCGTGTGGCTCGGAAAAATACATGTTTCCTTTCCTGACACCCAACGGCCTGGGGAAGCGGTCCTTTGAAGAAAGGGCTTTGACCTTGGGAAATTTCAACCTGAACTAGATTTGGGCTTTTCGTTTCATTCAGCTGAGGTTTGTGGGACTCTCCATGAACCAGGGACATCCACTGAAGACCGGGTGATAGGCCGCTGGGCGCAAGTTTGTACCGGAAATTTCCGTGAAGACTCTAAAATTCACAGAGCGTTTTTCACGGTAAGGACCTTTAACTAACTAAGATGCTCCTAACTTCCACAGACCTGCACAAGAACGGCTGGAAGTGATTTGTTCACTATTCACCCCCCAGTAAGTCATTAAATATAAAACAAATTTCGGGAATTTTCGGATAGCGTGAAGTGAATCATTACTGAAGAGTGCGTCAAACTTTCTACCCTCACTTCACCAAGTGAAGTGTGCCCATCATAAGTGAATTAGGAAAGAGAAAACAAAGGTGAATGGATAGCGTGAGTGAATCATTACTGAAGAGTGCGTCAGACTTTCTACCCTCACTTCACCAAGTGAAGTGTGCCCATCATAAGTGAATTAGGAAAGAGAAAACAAAGGTGAATGTGAAACTTGATTTTTTTGGAGAAAACTCAATCAGCTTGGGTTATTCATCGACACGGGTCCAATATTCAAGAAAAACTCAATCAAATGGCCGCTGATTACTTGTCTGGATCAAACAATTTTGTTACACACTTTTCACCACCAAAAGAAATTACAGCACCAGCTGCTGTCTTTGGGTCTCATGAAGCGCGTCGTTGCTTACTTTGCGACACTACAGCTTCCAAAAAGAGACCATACTGGAAATATTTCAGAGAAATTCAAGCACATGAGGAGCAAATAAACCATATACTACTGCTAAGTGTGATTAAGTATGAAGGTCAATCATTGACTGAAAGAAATGATTGCTCCGGAACAAGAAAAACTCTGTACGAACTGGAACGATGTGAGTACCACTTCTACGATACCGCATCTGCCAACCTGCACCCCCACTTGATGGCACTTGAGACGCCGGAACAGTACAATTTAGGTCTACAACAGGTGCGTTTTGGGTCATTCCTCAAAAAACAACCCTCCGAGCAAAATCATTCTTTGCGGCAGAAATTTCTTCCGAATTTTGAAACTTCCTCACAAAAAACTCATAATTTTTGTTTCAGGAGCAGAGGCTTTGTGATGAGAACATGGGAGCACTCTGATTGGCCAATCACAGTGGAGAATACCGAATTAGTTGAAATGACAATCTGGCATCTTGATAAGTTACCTGAGCCCTAAGGGAAGTCATTTATATACTTGGCTTATCGTTTGTAAGGACGTTGGTAAAACGACCTATCTTCCAAAAGGGGAGACACCGAATGAATGTGATGGAGAGAGAATAATACCACGAATGGAGAATGCTGTCGAATACGATGGGTCTGTAGAGATATAAGAGAATCACCGACGGCGAAGCACAAAAGCAAAAATAATGGTCAGACATGACATTCGTAAAGACAGCTTTGAAGTCTTCGATAGCATACATTCCACAGTCAAACCTTAGTACCTTTTGATGTTGATTGTGATGTGATGTCATACCACAGGTTACGTGATCAATTTATTGAATGCTGTGTTCTAAGTAGGCTAAGTGAGCTGGGTTGTCAGTTAACATGGACTGGAGGCTTCTCGGGAGGCCAGAACATTTAATTAATCAATCAAAGTGTCAACATCCGCTTCCCAGGAGATGCTGAGTCAGTAAGTGAAAAGTAGACCAGGGTATTTCTACTGTTCGTATTATTCATTTCACTAGACTAAAACCTAGTAAAAAAAACAGCTCAATGATAGCAGCCTAGACTTGACTTTCAATGTGAGAACATAAATTCAACTGATCTTTATGGATGAAAATCTCTGAGTGATTCAAGGTCGTGGACGCAATTATAATATTCAAAGGAAGAACTTGGTGAGACGTTCTTTAATTTCTTTTACTTCGTTCTCTTTCTCGAGGAAACGGAGCGGTTTTCCTGTTCCGCGATGTCCAATCTTCTAGGAAGGAGATTCGAACCACTCGTCTGGTATCTACGGTTGGCAACTGAACGTACTGCTGTACAAGAAGTTAAACTCCCTCAAAAGACAATTAGCTAGGGTTCGTTTTACCAGACTTGCTGAACTACAGATACCTTTTGTTCAATTCCTTGTTCTGTTTCGAATTTTGTCTTGCAAAGTAACCATGGACCGAAATATGTTCCTTCTTCGATAGTCCTCTGTGCGACAATACGTGGTCTGCCCGTTCCGTTGGGAGCGCAGACAATAGCGACTGGTTCCTTTTCTGTGCTATCAATGTTTAAGCTTGGCGATTCATGGCGCATTGAAGCTCCAGTGACCAAGAATTTTCCTGCTAGGGTTTCTTGGATAGACATCGGGGTTCTACGCCTGACCTTTGACGGCATATGTTTGGTATCTGTAAAAAGAAGAACAGTTTTGTATTTTGCGAAACGATGTGACGCTGTGTTGCTTGACAGTCCGAAACCTTGATTCTATGAGCCCGAATAGGGATGTTTTCGCCTACCTTATATGGACACTACGCTGAATATGTCAAGCCCCAAACTGTGCTCAAAAAATGCTATCATTCCTCCGTCTTAGCCTAAAGGACAAACAATATATAAACACAAGCGGACCATAAGGTCGAATAACTGAATTCTGGTCACTTATTCAGCCAAAATGGTACACGATGATTACAAAACGTTGTTGGATGAGTGACCTTTGTGGTTCGGTCGACAAATTGTCGCCTGTTGAACTCATCCAGAGTTTCACATCCACTGGCATAGATGCTCGAGGCGGACAGTAAGTCCGTTTCGATAACAAGCACGGTTTCTAGCTACGTGACTTGTCTATGCTCCGCCCAGAACTCCGGACATTAAATGCCCCAGCAACTGGCCTGAGGGTGAAGTTGACAGGACAATCCAGCACGTAGGGTTTCTTCCGTCTTTCTAATGATGTGAAACAGGGCCACAACATATCTCTGGCTTCCCAACGTCCTCTAAAGGACTGTAGTCGCGTCCTGCGTCGGTTGATGGAAAAAAATCGATGATGTGTCGGGCATACTAATCACATCGCTCAAGTGAGAACACGTTCACCCGTTCAGACGTCAGAATTCAGATGCGTCCAACGTGCGCTGGTGGAATAGTGGTAACACGTTCGCCTCGCATGTCAGGGATACAAATATTTAAAAAAATATCTCCAGATGTCAGGAGTTTCAGACTTTTTGTTTCAATGCAGGGATATGAAATCTGTTGCTCCATTGTTTCAATAAATCAACATGGTTGGCCACACACTGTGTTGGCGTCAGCAAGGAAGACAACTGATCTCAGCTTAATTCCTCGTTTGTGGCGTTCCTCAGCTGGACGTGTTGAACAAAGGATGTCTCAGCTTTTAGAGCTATTCTCCAAAAAACGCCGTTCGTGACGTTGCTGAACACTCTTCAGTAGAAAATGACCGATTTTGCTTTTCTTGGGGCTTTTCAGTCCTTGAACCTCTGTCAACCTAATGTTTCGATCGAGCCCAAATTGGACAGATTTCGACAAGTATACTCATTTGCACAACTAATTGTTTTTTTATGAGAAACAACCGGATATCATATTTATGATATTTTTCAACTGAATGTGCTTCATAAAAGCCGCTTCGTGTTTCACTATGTACGATATTTTAGAAATCGCAATATACTTTCATAAAGGAAACCACTCATAAGTTTGCTGAAAACTGTTCAACAGCACACGACCGGTTTCGCACTTTTTGGGACTCCTCAGATAGCGCAGTCCCAGGGTTTCCGCCAGTCTTCTGTTCGACTTCAAGTCAAAGTGTACGAACTTTACCAATTACTCTCACTTGTGCATTAATCTGGTATCAACTGGAGACTAACTTGAACTCCAACAGAATCTGTCTTCAAATGAATATGTTCTACACAGTGCGCCTCATGCCTCAGTTGATACTATCATACTACCGTACAATTTGGTGTTTATGTAGAACATCATCTCGGCAGAAACTGGGCAACTGCGTTTAGCTGACGAGCCCGAAGAGGGGCGACAGCAGTCGAGTTTGCAGTCACCTCAGGAGTAGTATCTCCCGTCAAAAGGAACAGTCAACTCCTTGTTGATCCTAATACTTTCGCTGGGTGTCCACACGACCATTCTTGTTGCCATGACAGGGCAGGAATTCAACGAGCGTGAAGGTGCCAAAATATAACCACCTTACTATTAAAACTTTACTCCACGGAGGAGTCAACAGTGACAGCGGGTTTCTTAGAGCAATTATCACGTGCGCTCCAGTTTTTCCGGTCCATTACACCAGAGGCGTTGGGAACAATCACCATGGTCAGTTGTACTTCCTTCCCTGTCCTCGTAAAAGCCATTCGTTTCTCAATCAATAGAATGGTGTTACACATAGAAATAAATTACACACTTTGAACGACTAACAAAGAGGAAGCACCTGTGATGCAACTAGTGCAGCGCAAATGTGGCCTAACTTCGGTCCCTTTAGTAAAAATTTCTAGACGTAATACACTACTGGTAAGATTGCTGATGACTCTTCGATAGGCCACGATTAGTTCTGCCCAATTTGGGGCTCATCAGTTGCCTACAACTCTCGATTTTCCGTCATCCTGCGGAAGTCTGTGTACTAACTCGATAGTACCAATCATAAACTTACCTGTGCTCTCTGCTTTGAACGAAAAACGAGGAAGCGTTTGACTGGGTTGGTCCCCTCGGTCAGTGGTTGAAGTGGCCTGGAAAAAACGAAAAATACCTCGTCAATAGTGCATACTCATTCGAGGTGACAGACTGCTCCTCCTGCACATCCCAAATCGTTCGATTCTAAAGGGTGCATTTCCTAGAATTCCGCCATCTTTGACGCACGCGGTTACAGCACGTACTTAATACACAGTGTGAGTGAAACTGATGGCATGAGTTTCTTCATCAGTCTACTGGGAAACTTCATAATGGCGCGCAAAGGTGGGGGAATCCAGGACACAGTTAATGATGTTTATATTGTATTTTGTCAAGCGAGCTATTACGTTTTGTCTGAAAAAAAATGTGTGAAATTTTCAGTACATCCTACTGTGTTTTGAGTTCGGCCATGAATTACGATTAGAGCTTGCATAATTACCTAGGTCTGGTTTTGGCAACCTGTAAGTTATAAGACAAGTCTTTCCTTCCCTTAGGTTGTAGCCACCTGAACAAATTTCCCCAGATAATATGATGACTGTTCACAATTACTGACTAAAAATAAACCACTATTATTATTAGCAAATATACACTCATTTGCAAGCTAATTTAGTTTTTCGAGAGCCTCACCTGGAACCCAGCTGAATCTCTCGGTTTTGATAATTCCAGTTTGCAAACGAATGTAAAAACATAAGGTTGACGGAAACTCGGGGGACTGCGCCTACCTGATGAGCCCCGAGAAGATCAAAAAACCGGTCATGGGCTGTCGAAAAGTTTTCAGCATCCTTGTGAGTAGTGCATCACTATTATTATTGTTATTAAAAAATTATGAACTCAAGAAATCTCAGTGGATGAGGCCCAAACTTGGTGACTGGAAGGTTTTTGGTTCACATTCATTCTCTGCATCGTAACCGCTCCTGTCTGTCCTTGGATAACCTGACAGCGTCCAAGCCGTGGTGCTCCATTAGGGTGTTATGGCAGCTACGACCTGAAAGTGTGGTAAGTCTGAACTACCATCATTATTATAGTATAGTATAGTTTAATATAGTATAGTATAGTGCAGGATAGTATAGTATATAGTATAGTATATAGTATGGTATAATATTACCACAGTAGAATAAAGTATAGTATAGCATAATATAGTATAGTATAATATTACCACAGAATAATAAAGTATAGTATAGTATTACCAAGTATAGTAAAGTATAGTAAAGTATAGTATAGTATAATATAGCATAGTATAGTATAGTATAGTTTTACCACAATATAAATCTGGTCAGAAACTAGCTTGCTCGCACATTTTGAAGGATGTGTTTCAGTAGAACTAATGGGAAGGTTCTCGCTAGTTACAGAAATCGACCAGGAGAGCATGAAATGGTCATTTACACGTTTTCCGTGATCTTCTTTAGGCCCCATTTTCAGGTGATTGTAATCCACTTGAATCATTTTGACATGAGGATGTACGTCACAAATTCTGTGGAAAATCGAACATGCGACTTCTGAATTAAGCCGTTCGGCCACGAACAGCTGATCAGCCGAGTGATTAACTTCCAATAAGAAAAGACATGACGCCACTCGTCCCTCAGTCACGTGATTAGCATCTCGTGTTCACTTGTGTTCACAGGCGCATTGAGTGACGACTTCTCAAAAGGAATACTCAAGCAACCTATGAATTTTTCCTTTCTCAGTCTGTTACTTGTACGTTGGTAGTAGTATGAGGTGATGAGGTTCTAAAAGAATTCCTTAGGAAACTATGTGCTGAAAAGCCGAAAAAATTGTATGGTTGTTTTGCTCTCGTTGGCAATCAACACGGCTATTCCGAGAATCTTCAGTGTGATTCAGTATGGTCGAATCACATCCATGACCTCCTAGTTAGCATTTGAAAAGTACATCGCTCTGGGGTTCAGTGAATGAAATTTCGATTAGACGTTCAAAATCTTTTCAACTTTGAAATTTGTTTTCGAAGGCTTGCTAACATTAAAAGACAAAAACAGATGACACCGAAATTCCTGGGGCCACTAAAATCAACCATATTACTTTTTCGGGAGATCGCATCAGGGCAACCAAAGGAATGATTCATCGACTTAATTTCAGCTGCCAGCAGCGAAACGTGGTTCCCCATTCTATGATTGCTGCTTTTGAAGGATCTTTTCCAGAAAAGCCGCGCCACTAATGCAAAGAGTGCATTGGAGAAAAGTTAAGCCCCGCGAATTTTGCCAGGTTCAATTTAATGTACGCACACAATCTTGNTAATTTTCTTCGTTCGCACGTAAAACCTTAAATGAAATTTCTGACGCTTTCAACTTTCGTTCATCACAAGCAGACAGCAATGCGTTTTTTGCAGAGCCACGGAGAGATCCGTCAACAACGTTCTTGCAACAATGGCCACCAAATGACACTTTCAACTGTTTCTGACAGGTGGAGGTTTAATGCCCGACAGTGTCGGCAAGAAATCGGTCTTCGAAAGAGAACTTGGCTGGAGTCGTTTGGGATGGATTTTAGGACCATAATTCTGTTTAATTCTTGCTGGTCTAAAAATTTAGCAAAAATCAAATTCATCTCAGAGAAATTATCTATTAGGCACGCGACCACTGTTGACTGGAAGAACTTTCTTGGCGAAGTTTGAGCTTGCAGTTTGAGTTTGCAGAATCCAAAGGTTAATCACACCGAAAATTTCGTGGATCCGACGACTGGAGCTCACA